TGAGTTTATGGCCAAAAAATGGAGAAAAAGCCGCACCACACGCGCGTGAAGTGCACTTCCGTCAAGTTAGACGGTTTAGGGGATAACGCGTAATCAAAAGTATAATACAAAGGGATATGGCGCAATTTTTAAAATACAGGGGGATAACGCGCAAATTTCGTATAATACAGGGGGGTTTGGCGCAATTTACCCGAAATATCAAGGTAATTTCAACAATATATATAAATATAATTTCTTAAATATATGACAATATATAGAATAAACATTTCATATTTAAATTGAATTCAATTTTATACGAACGGAGTCATAAAAATAATAATCGGTAAATTTTGAATTTTGTGAGATCTCGATCGCATTTGGACGAAAGCGGTTAGGGTGGTTGTTTTTATTTTTATGTAGCCACCCAAATTCGTTGGGTTTGGAATTCGATTTAGGAGATCGATTGACAACTCGTCGTCTCTTATATATTAGAGGTTAATATATAGGAGGTCGTTGGTGGAGTGATTAGGCTCGGGTTAGGGTTTTTGAATGACCTGACTATGTTCTAGCTAGTATGATGCATTAGGTAATATATGTTATAGTGATTGATTAGAGAGAAACACAAAATTTGGGACCCGGAAGACTTTATAAGGAAATCTTGAATATCTTGAAGAAATTTTGTTTGGATTTATCTGAGATTTTAAAAATATAATGAAGCTAAAAGAGAAATAGTAATTTTGTATATATATTAACAACATTATGTAATAGACTGGTTTAACTAGCATTAATCTTGTGCACATACACCAGTTACCAAAAATAAATAAATATTATATATAAGAAATTTAATTAAATTAAAATTTTACTTAATATTATATATCACATTTATAATTGAATAATCACATCAAAGACTCAGTGTGATTTTTACACTTAAAGAAATCATAATATAAATTTAGATTAATCATACATTAATGACCGTTATTACTGAATATAATAAATAATCTAATTTTTATACACTTTGAATATTATATTAATAATAATTATAAAAGTATAAACAAAGTAAAAAAAATATATAAATTTAAAGTGGACAACATAAATCTTATATACCATATAAAGTGACCTTTTTAGAGAATTATCGTACAAATTATATACATAACATATTTGTATAAAAAAATATATAATGTATTTATATAATGAAATACATGTACATTTGAATTATTTCATCTAATTATCTATCACTTATAAGAAAATATTTATATGGTATTATTTTATTATAAAATATGTGGTCACTACTACAAATAAAACATGGTATAGAGCTGCAGAGAACTCACAAATCTGACCATCTGCATACTCCATAGCCTCAAGCATCATATATAACATATAGTGCTGACTTTTCGACTTCGTTCAAGTTCGCCGGAGCTCAAAAGTCTGTTGTGCTACAACCTTCGAGACGTCAGTCGTATTTTTTGGGATGAGACGTCTAGACCTATCACTATATTACGAGGCGTATTCTTCTTGCGGAAAGAGCAACACTCTCCTCGGCTTTGTCTTTCGTTTTTCAGATTGTATAGTGTTTTCTGTTTTTTTTTGGTTCAAACTGTAATAATTAAAACATACATTATTCAGTTTATAGGTTTCTCGTTGTAATCGACAACAATGTATGTAACACACCATTGTCTCAAATTTTTCATCATTCTCAAAAATATATTCCACACTCATTTATTTTTCTTACAACTTGAAAGAGTTCTTAACAGAAAGAAAATGGAGGCGAGTATTGTGGGGCGAAAGGAAGTCAATTATTTTACTTTTTTTTCTTAGTTTGGCGCAATGTGGGATCATTAAAGCCATAAATCGAGGTGTAAACCCGTAATTGGCTAGGTAAAGTGTCCCCATACATTTTTTTTTACAACGAAGGAGGTCATAGGCCTAGACTAAAACACGACGGGGATAAGAGACCCCGATAACATCATGCCCGAGCCACTCGCCCAAACTAGGTGGAGGAAAAGAGAGCATATGGAAACCAATCGGATAGGAAGACGTTAAGCTCGCTAAGTGGTCAGCCGCACATTTTGCTTCTCTATGCACATGTCTAAGTCTTGTAGTCCACTCCCGGTGAAGCAATTGGCGAATGGCCTTGAGCAAGGAATCGTTCGCCCCAAAAGAAGTAGTTGGACCCAGAATCATTTGAACGACGCACTTGCTATATATCAACCTCCACAATAACGTGACGAAACCCCGTATCCCATGCAAGCTGTAAACCTTGAAATATACCCCACAGTTCGGCTCCGGTAGAATAGCATTAGAGCAACTACAAAACAAAAAACATTATGTTGTTTAGTTAACCTTGAGATATGGCGTTTTGCAATAGCTAATTTTATCACAAATATAAATTCAATTTGTTTTTTTAAATGATTTCCAAATAATAATTGTAAGTAAATTTTGTTTTTGGAGACATACCAAAAAAAATTAGTTACGGAAATACCCTTTTGGTGTAGTCTATAATCAAGATTTAATAATCACAGTTAGGAGATATTCCAACTAATTAATTAAGTTTAGTTATCAACTAATTACCACTAAATAAGTTGCTAAATCATTTTCTAAATTACTTATCAGCCGGAGTGTACTTATCACATGTATTAGTACACTTGTGAAATCGCGTGAAATTCTAATTTTATTCATCATAATTTTCTACATTGATATATTAATTTAATAATGTAAAATAAAACGGATAACTAAAAATTTTCTCATTATTTTATGAAATTTCTAAATTTATGAAAATAATATAGGTTGACTTGAACTCCACCAAATCTATGTTTTCAATTATTTATTGCTGAATTATTTCGGGCCATGTGAACTAAATTAAATTTATCTCTAAAATTTAATTATAAATTTAGTATAAATAAATATAATTCTTGCTGAAGAATCGAACAATTCACATTAATCTAGGAAAACAAAGAATGGTTCTTTTGAACCGGCACCGGCGGCCATTGTTAAGAGTTGTGTTCATATGTAAAATTTTCCAAGCAATAAAGTGAGAATTAAGAGATATAGTATATATAAAATATAATGATGTGACTGATTAATTTAAATACATGCTTTCCATCCATGAGCTACATAAATAAAATTATTAAAAAAACTTTGACAATTGACTAGTTTATATATATATATATATAAAATAATAATAATAGCATTGTTTATTTATTTTGCACAAAAGTCAAAGAAAAATCGTGGAAAGATAGATAAATTTCATAATTAAAAAAAAAAAGACAAAATATCATATAGATCCACAATCTTTTTTATTTTGTAATTTAATATACCACTTTTGAAATTTTGTAAATTACACCACATGTACCATTTTTACAAATCGATACGTGAATAACAGTTCTGTTAAGAAAAATGAAACAGAAATCTGACATGACATTAAACCACGTCAATGCCATGTCAGATTTCTGATAACAGAATTGTCATTCTTGTATCGATTTGTAAAAATAGTAAAAGTAGGCATTAATTTACAAAATTTCAAAAGTGGGGATTAAATTACAAAAACATGAAAGATAATGTATTAATATGCAATTTTGTCTAAAAAAAATTATATATCAATGGAACCAAAATTTCCATTTCCATCACACTCAATTTAATATATTTGATTGAAACCGTACGGAAAGGAATCCGAAATTGAATTTTGAGTTCCATTCCATACTGTCCTTTCTATTTTTTTCGCGACTTTGATAAAGCAAATTTAATTATATTTTTTTAAAAATTTACATTTACTTATTTTTCACGTGTATGAATAAATCTATCAATAAATTAGATTTTTTTTTAAGAAATAGAAAATTGAATTTAAAACCACAAACTTAAGGTTTTACAAGATTCAAAATAAATAAATAAATAAAATAATAAATAAATAAATATTTCTGAAGTTATAAATCATGTGTGAAGGTAAAAATGTGAAATTTAATTAGTGGGCTTGTTACATTATTGTTCCCCAATTGGGTAATCGTAATTGTAACAACGTGTAGCCCATCAAAAGGCTGAACAAGTTATTGGAGTGTTTTCAAATGTATTACTGTAGTGGGTTTGGGTCAGTATTACTCTAAAGCCCAATAATATTCGGCCACCTAGAATTTTGTGACGTCAAATCTCCACATTTATTCCGAGAAAATTACTCGTTTCACTAATCAAAACACCAAACATCGCATATATACACCATAATTTTTTATTTGCAAACATATAGAATAAAATCTAACCAAATATTTGCGTAGATACCAATTTTTTTTAATTTATTTTACTTTTTTAAAGATAATTATTAATGTAGTTGTATGCAATTGACAATTGTTCTAATTTAATGAAATTTTACTTTTGTAACTTCCAAAAAGATTGAAAAACATTCATATCCGCGCTATCTCCAATCATCTTCTCTCTCTTCTGTTCCCTCTCTCTCTCTCTCTCTCTCTCTCTCTCTCTCTCTCTCTCTCTTATATTTATCGGCTTGGTTGGCTAAAGGTGGAGTGGAGCGACAACTGACAATTTTGGCGGCAGAACGGATGACTATGATCGTGCGGCGGTCACTTTTGGTTCGTGAGTGGCAGAAGTTGTTGAATGGTATCAAGTTATTAGATCGAAGATCGAAGATGAACAGTTGAAGATCGAAGAGAGAAAAAGAGAGGAAAGCTTTATTAGATCTGAAAGGGAAAATTACAGAATGAGAAAAAGTGTTTGGAAACTAGGGTTTCCTCCTATTTATACTATGCCAAAATAGTCTATAAAAAGTGCTAAAATGCTATACACGATTTTACTAGGAAAAAATACAACTTGATATAAAACAATGAAAATTACAAAATATTAAAATAAAACCTATCAGCTATTAAATGGTGGGCTTCAACCGAGAGCAGTGGAAACTTGATATGTCGAGCACCGGCGGAGTTGTGTCCAAGACGGCGTGACAATACAAATGGCGTCCCTACTTTAGAGCGGCAGTGGTTCGCTTGGCTCATCCAAAGGCGACAATAACTGGTGGCGGTGATATGTCGAGCATCTCGGAGACGAGCATCTACGGTTGTGGGTTCGTCACGAGAACAGCCATCGGCGGAGTCTTAGTGACATGACGACAGCCCTGCTTGTGAGCAGCGGCGGCATGTAGATAGTTTCGATCGAGTCTGTTTCAGTGTATATTTACAACGTACTTTTGGGATGTTATCATATTTTTTTGTTGGGGAAGAAATTGATATGAGGCAAGAAATGAACATTTTTTTTTGGATTATTATTGTTTATGTTTTGGATATTCAATATTAATTTTTTTGTTTCGTTTTGATCTTTGTAGTTTTGTCGTGTGTTTATGTTTTACTTGTTGAGTACTACTCCAATGATGTTGTTCGTATCTTGTTCCAGAGCTGGATGCGAAATAGTGCATCTGAGCTGGTAAAAATTATGTACATAAAAATACAACATATACTAAAAATATACTGACTGCAGTCTGTGCAACATAAGCTGACATAATTCTGATGCCTCTCTTGCACAATATTATGATGTTCGACGTTAAGTTTTTACCTCTTTTTATTATAATCGTCGACCTGGTTGTTTGTCATTGTATATTTCAAAGGCGTAAATTGTATATATCTACTTATATATTACGGAGAAATAAATTGTGTATATTTACTTATATGTTATATGCATAGTTACACGTTATAAACCAATTGCATAAGCTAAATTTTGGTTGAGAAAAAAAAAATACAAAAAAATAAAATAAAATTATAATCTAGTATGTATATAATTTTCCCATTTGCCCATGCAATTCTGCATTTCCCCAATTACAGTTACAAAAAGAAAAGATAAAACCCGCGCGAAAGACTGCATTTTTCTGTTGTTAATCTTCCCTTCCCTCCAATAGACCCGGACTCACTTCACAATTTTACACTCATTTTAGAAACATTCAACCACATTATCATAACTAAAACCCTTATACACCCTTTTTTTTCTCCATCTTTTTTCTGTTTCTTGAAAAACAGAGCAAAACAGAGCCAAAAAAACAAAGGTGAGAATCATAAGTTCTTGAATGGCTTGCATGAGGCTTGGCTCCAAATCCGAAGCTTTCCACCTCCAAGGCCAGAGCTGGTAACTAAAACAAAACGCATTCTTTACGCGTCGACCCGCCTAACCGTTAGACTCAAAACCCGTCATTTTTTTTTTTTTTTCAG